CACTTTGATATTTTTTAGTGCCAACCTTTCCAAAATACTCCAGACACAATAGTCCAACGGATTGGTATCCGGAGATTTTGGTAGCTGGAAATGAAACGAGAAACCTCATTTTGTAACCATTCTTGGGTGGCGCGTGCTGAGTGCGTTGATGCTGAGTCCTGTTGGAATGTCCAAGGTCTGCGGCCAAAATGTTTGCGTTCCCATGGCTTTAATACACCCTCCAGAATATTTTCGCGATAATATTCGACATTTATTCTGATGCCACGGTCGATTAATACGAACGGAGACCATAGGCTGTTATGGCGTCCCACACCATCACCATGGCCGGCGCTTGAGTTCTGGTGGCCAACCGAGAGTGCACATTTTCAGCTAACCTCTTTAGCAAGTAAGCACGATCATTTTGTTTTTGCACAACTAATGTTTTCTCAACGGAAAAATCCAAATTCGGCAGTTCACCACTTTCGGCCAAGCGAAGAAACTCTTTAGCTCTTTTGAGTCTATTTTCTTTCTGTTGTGGGGTAAGTTCTTTCACTTTTTGGAATTTCAATGACTTTACCCCGAGCTCATTTTTCAATTTCTGTCGAATGGAAAATTGCGATATGTTCAGCTCACGAGACGTAGGTTTCGATCAAGTCGCTTCTTTACTTTTCGAACCATTTCTGCTGATGTTGCTGTTTTCTTCGTCCACTTTCTTGACGGGCTACGCTACCAGTATCACGTAACCGAGCGATGGTACGAGACACAAAAGATTTATTCACATTTCAATGCTGAAGTGCTGTAAGGATAGCCACTTGTGGTTTTCCAGTCAAATATAAAGAAATCACACCATCACGCATGAACTCCATCACGAATAACTTTTTTCATCACGAACTATTCAAAACTTTAACCCTTTGTAGATGAGGCACCGGAAGGAATGGTCCGATCTCTACCATCTTTATAATAGATTTTGTGTGGATGAGATGTACCAAGACTGAATGGAATCGGATATTAATTTCGTGTTTTATGAGCTTCATGAATATTTAAAATGTTGACCCTTTGTGGGGGAGGTACCAGAAGAAGCGAACAAATATATTCCACCCTTACATTACATGTTATAAGAATTATAATTATTCAAAATTTTGGCCCTTTGTGGGGAAAGTACTGAATGAAGTGGATCGATATTTTCTATTTTCGCACCTGACGTAGCATTGATGCAAATATTAGAATTTAGGAAAGTTGCAGCAAAATCGGATTATCCTTTCTCTTTCTGTGCAAAAAATTACTTTCTTTGAAAATGTTGACATTTTGTGGAGGAGGTAACAGAAGGAGTAAGCTGATATTGCCCATCTTTGAACTCGATCTAAGTTTTACAATAATATTACGAAGTACCAAGTTTGGATCAAATCGGATACTCCCTTCGAGAGTTATGGTGCTGCCAGATAGACGGACGGATATCGCTAGATCAACTCCAAATGTCCTTAATCGGATTTGGTCCAAAGAAACCAAGGGTCGAAAACCATTATTTTGATGAGGCACGTTGTGACCCTATCAAAAGATATATAACCTCTCTAGCCACATGGCAGAGGGTATAACAAGTAAAAAAACGTTAGGTTCGGCCGGGTGAACTTTTAATAGCCTCCACATTTGGGTAAAGAAAACATTTTTATACCCTACAACACTTTGTGTTGGGGGTATTATAAATTTGGTTGGGCCGAAAATTATATAACACCTCGAAATATTGATTTCCCACATAGGAAAATATATATGGATCTTCCTATCTCGCCGAGCTGAGTCGATCTACCTATGTATGTCCGTCCGTCCGTCTGTCCATGTTAATTTGTAATCACTCTACAGGTCGCAATTATGGCCCGATCTTCACGAAATAAAATAGAACCCTATTTCTTTTGGAGATGATCGCACAATATTTAGGTGTCGAAATGGACCAAACACTGAAAAATTTTCTGATTTTGCAGTTGCTCTACAGGTCGCAATTATGGACCAATCGACTCGAAAATTAGCATGGGGCTAAAGCTTCGGGCTGGGCAGAAGCCTTCCGATTTTGATGGTCATCGGGTAATATTTAGTGGGACTATAACATTTGTGTTAAATAAAAGTCAAATTTCCATTATACCGCGAATATTTTTAGTCCCGGCGAACTTATAAATAGACGAACAGGTCAATTCTGACCGTTACGTAGATGCCGATAGTAAATATATCGGATATTTATAGCAAAATATATACAATGTGTATATACAAAGGAAAGGAATGTTAGATGGAATGCTTATATCTCAAGAATGGCTGCACCGATTTTGACAAATTTTGCCAATTCAGAATGCCCTCTTGACATAAAAGTATATATAGATTTTTTAGTATTTTGTGACATTTTTTTATTTTTTCATATTTTTTATCGCATGCGATTTTTTCAATTAGACTTATAATATTAAGGTGTAATATTTTTCCACCTTACAACACAAGTTTGGGATATTATATACAAATTGCTATTATTGTCCGATGCTCTCGAAAAGGGTAGGGTTAGGCTCAGAAGGGCTAGGCCTATTGTTTTCAAAGCTGTCCGTAATATATTTAGGGGTTGAAATGGACCAACAACTAAAAATGTTCCTGATTTTGCAGCCGTTATAAAGGTCATAAATAGAAACCAAAGGACACGAAATCTCGCATGAAGTTAGAGTTTAGGACAGCGGGTAGAATGGACCACTACTTTTGTCTGAAAAATACCAACATTACTTACAGGCGATAGCCGAAATACACAAAATGCGAACTTCTGCCTTTTTTGCTGATTTCGTTGACGAATATAGTCAAATATCGTAGACAAGAAGATCGTATAGAAGAGTCTAAATTTGGAGATACAGAGGGGCCTCTTGCTTTTGGAGATGATCGCAAAATACGACGGAGTGCGTAAATATTGGGCAAATGTCCCTGGTCAAAATGCTAAGGGTAATATCTGGGCAGTGCTCCGTCACATAATTTCAATAGCGAAATCATCCAAAATGGATTTGGACATAAGGGGGCTTCGAACATATCGTAGTGTTGTAGGGTATCACATGGTCGGCCCCGCACGACTATAGCCTTTGCTTACTTGTTATATATAAAGTGACTAGGATAATCAAAATACCGAGTATCGATGAGTATCGTTATATGTGCGCTATAGGAAAACGTGGATCTAAATTTTCCATATATACATACAATGCTTCGCCACCGGATCTAGAACCCATTCGAACTACAAATACCAATTTCTGGACAAATCCGTGGTAAAATACCGAATATCGGGAGGTATCGTTATATGGGGAATATACGATATCGTGAGCTTATACATATACACAATTCTCTTCCTGAGGTTAAGGTACTCACAAAAATACGTTCTTTCTTTATTCGTTTTGACTCTAGCGTGATTACAACAAACGGGCAGGGCTAAATCGTCTTAGAATTTTACGCTGATCTTTTACTAAACTTGTTAGGTCCAAAATCATTATTAAGATGAGTTACAAAGGGAATGACGAACTTAATATACCCTTCATAATATGCATCTCCAGTTCCAAGTGGAATTTCAACAAGTAAAAGACATCAAAGTTTGGCTGGGCCGAACTTTTAATACCCTCCACCATTTTGAAGGGACTTGAAATTTTTCAAAGGAAAAAATACCTCTATGTAGTAAAATCCCTCTCAAATGAAACCCCTTACATGGGGGCTATACGATGACGTGGTCCTTCATAAGTAATTTTTTTCATAGGCTGTAGCACCGATTCCAAATTTCAAACACGAAATTTGAAACAATTCCTGTGAATAGCGTCGCTAAAGTCATTCAAGTACCGAATATCGGGAAGTATCGTTATATGGGGGTCATTATTCACCGGAGTAGCTTCAAATTACGAATTTAGAGTTCGTAGTGGTAACTATAGTCTGTGACAGAAAATTTTCTATGCAGGTCCGGGTCTTCGTATAGCCCCCTTATATCAGTACCTCCCTATATTATGTATTTTAGGTACAATACTCACCGAAATTGTTTGAGATGTCATATGCTACAGCCTGCGACAAAAAATTGTCTATGCAAGTCCAGGTCTTCGTATAGCCCTTATATAATGGTACCTCTTGGTACTGGAAGATCTTAATGAGTACTACAACCTATGACAAAAATTCGTATGCAGGTCCACATATTCGTATAGTCATCATGCAACTGTTTTCATTTAAGTGATAGTTTTCGGAGTTTGTTCTTGAAATTTTTAAAGTTCCTTCCAACTGGTGGAGGGTATTAAAAGTTCGGCCCGGTCGTACTTAGTTTCTGTTTTACTTACTTACTTTACTTTATATTCTGCTAGTTTCTTTAGTATTGCTTAGGTATGAACAACAATTTTATTACCTCACCCGAAACTGACTAACTCAGCCAAAGCATAAACAAAGTCCACTCTTTGCCATTTAGTTATACTTTATAGCAAGTGAAATTGATTCAGATATAATTTCAACTCAACTCTTTTGTTAGACATCCAGAATTGAAAATCTAATACCGACTAGTTTGGCTTGACTTTCTGAGTATCGGGGTTGGTGATCTCTTTATGAGTTCGTTTAGTGTGAATGTGTGTGTAGGATAAATTTATCTCGACGCCACTGATTGTTATCATCATCCATACTTGCCACTATTATGTTTGAAGATGTTGAGCAGCTTGTCAGGTAGCTTTCTTAAGACGTACAAAGCGTATAATTAACTTAGTTTAAAAATATTCTATCTTTCTTTTCGGCTATTTTGCCATAGTCGTTGGCCACTAACACCCAAATGACTGTTATTCAGATCAACTTCTGAGAAATAATTTGGCCAACAACAAGAAAACATTAAAAAAAAAACAAAAAAAAAATAATTCATTAATAGCAATTAATCCATAGAACTTCGAAAAAGAACACACAATAAATATTCGCAAAACAAAAATGGCAACAATGGCAATGCTCAGCGCTGCGCTATGAAAGGAACTGAATTATTAGACCACATCATTACCGAATTTCTTGTCGTACATCACGTTTTTAGCATAACTTGAGGTGTATAAAAATAACAAAAAATTCATAATAAGTTATCAGTTATAGTTATTTCACTCAAGGGAACAGAAGTAACTTGTCGAAACACCAGCATCATGGTAAGAATGGCGCCCAACGTGAGAAATATGATAGCAAATTTTTAAAAAACTTTTATTTGCAGAAACTCTTTGTTGTAACTTTATCCGTTTTGGTTTCTGCCGCTTTGGGAGGACAATTGAGTAGCACTTATTTGCCACCCCATCAGGGTAGTGCATCGGCTCATTCAGCCAGTTTTGCTGCCGCTGCTCCTTCTTCGCAATATTTGGCTCCAGCTGCATCGGCCCCAGCTAGCAGTTATGCTACATCTGGTGGCTTCTCATCATCGGCCGGTCATTTCTCGGCCCCTGCTGCAGCCAAACCCTCTAGACAATATTTGGCACCCGCTGCTTCTGCCCCAGCTGTAAGCTTCGCTTCACATGGAAGTAGTTCAGGTGGTTTCTCATCCGGTGGTCATCATGCCGGAGGTTTCTCATCTGGTGGTCATCATGCCGGAGGTTTCTCCGCTGGTGGACATCATGCTGGAGGTTTTTCATCCGGTGCTGGTCATCATGCCGGAGGTTTCTCATCCGGTGCTGGTCATCATGCCGGAGGTTTCTCCGCTGGTGGTTCCAGTGGCTTCGCCGTCGGTGCTGCTTCTAAACCATCGAAGCAATATTTAGCTCCTGCCGCTTCTGCTCCAGCTGTCAGTTATTCGGCTCCTTCTGTTGGTTTCTCCGGCGCTGCTTCTGCTCCCGCTGCTCACTATTCTGCTCCAGCTGCAACTTCATTTGGTGGCTCCAGTGGTTTCTCGGTTGGTGCTGTTTCGAAGCCATCAAATCAATATTTGGCTCCAGCTGCCTCAGCACCCGTTGTTCATCACGCTGCTCCCGCTGTACACCATGCCGCTCCCGCTGTTCATCACGCTGCTCCCGCTGTCCACCACGCTGCTGTATCTCATGGCCATGGTGGTAGTTTTTCATCGAGTGCTCATTCTACTGGCTTCAGCCACGCTGCATCTGCCCCCGCTGTTAGTTACTCAGCACCTGCAGCCAGTTTCTCTGCTCCAGCTGCCCATTACTCCGGCAGCTCAGTGGGTACTCAGTATGCTGCCAATGGTGGTTATGTCCGCCACTAGAGTGTCATATAGTGTGAGATTTTAAAGCAAATGTGATCTTATAATAAATGCCGAATAAGTTATTGAAAACGAACTTGAAGCTTTGATATTAGTGTGACTGGGTGGTTCCTAGGCTATATAATGAATCCATCTTTGCAACATTCTCCACGTAAGTCTTCGGCCACTAAATACTATAGCAAGTTGGGTGAAACTTTCAACTTTCAATAAGGGAGGAGTTTGGATATAGATTGCCTTAAGAGCTTCAGAGCGAGTGAAAAATACTTGCGATCGGAGTTGCTTGAAAATTTCGTGTTGTAAAAGAAGTTTATTCTCCACATAGTGGTAAGGGTATTATGTCTTTGTGCATTTGTTTGTAACAGGGAGAAGGAAGCGAGATAGACCCATAGTTAGTTTTGAGAATCTGCATAGTATCACTTTTTGAGTCGATTTATGCATGTCAGTCCGTCCATGTATTCTTGTGAACAAAATGCAGGTTGCATTTATTATCCCATTGAGATGAAATTTTGCAAGCAATATTTGTTTGGCCCAAGGACGAACCCTATTGATATTGGCGATAATCTGTAAAAATTTAGATATAGCTTCCATATATATCTTCGTCCGATTTGCCTTTTATTGTCCCAAACGTGTAATATCAGCCCGAATAGTATGGAATTTTGCACATACAACCAAATTAGGCCTGAAAATATGTGTGCCAAATTTGATCGAAATCGGTTCCGATATAGCTATAGCTCCCATATTTATGTTTCATCCGATTTGTTATTTTTGTCCTACGCAGACGTAATATGCACTCTGTAACAACAATATTTGAGGAAATATATCAAATGCAGCTCAGAAATACCTTTGCTAAATTTTATCGAGATCGGTTTAGATTTGGATATAACTCCGATATATAACTACGTCCGATTTACCTATTATTGTTCACCAAACGTCTAATATTTGTCCAAAAATGATGAAATTTGGCACTTACGACCGAATTGAGTCCAGAAGCTAGTATGTCAAATTTGGTGAAGATCGGTTCAGATATAGCTATAGCTCCCATATATATTGTTCATCCGATTTATTGTATTTGTTACCCACAGCCGTAATATGCACTCCGTAACATCGATATTCTGGGAAATATATCAAATACAGCTCAGGAATATCTTTACCAAATTTTATCGAGATTTGGATAGATCTTTATCTGATTTCAAATTAATTTTGCACCAAATGGGCAATACAAGTCCGAATTTAAAAGATACAAATGTTTAGTCCTTTGAACTTTAAATTATAGTTATAATCATGGCGTGTGTGATTGAATTCTCCCATAAAAACTTTTAATTGTTACGTGGAGCTCTACTAAATTAGCAAAGTGGTGTAGGGTATCAAAAATTTGACCTGTCCGACTTTAGGACTTTCTTTACTGGTTTTAATATTATCCTTCCCGAAGTGAAATCCTACACTCTATAGCAATGTTATTTGGTATAAAAGATTAAAATTTCTCCGTCAAATTTATTCAGAATTGAATATGCCTCCCATATATTATTTCCCTCTGAAACCAAACTATAACTGCTCTAAAGCCAAATGTTGATAAGTGGTATGACCTACTTAAAATTTATTATTTTTTACGGAAGCTCTACTAAATATGCATAGTGGTGTAGGGTATCATATAGGCGACCCCGCCCGCACGAATTCGGACCTATCGTTGAAGGTTCGGTTTATAAAAGTTCTGAAGATAATCGAGAACCCAACTGGAGGTCGGGTATTCTAATAGAGCGATGCCATTATATGGCTTGGACCTATATAGCTCATTTTCACTTCTAAAAGTCTTGGCATGCAAGACCTCCTTACATGCGGTATTTTTTATGATTTTATCATGGTTTTGTTTCCAAATGGTGGAGAGTATACAAAATTTGACCCGGCCGAATTTACTGCTCTTTTACTTGCTAGGAATTAAGATGTTGATGCTCGAAAAACGATAGATGATCAAAAACTCTGATGTATGGACGTCTTGTTGATGATGGTTTATAGGTGATTGGAAAGAACAACGTGTTGGTCTGCTGTTAGGATTGTGAACCAGAATCCATTATATATGGACGTCAGGTCTATGACGATTTGTAGCACAATTTCAGGATCGGGGAATCTGATCATTTGATTCCAGGTTGTTTACATAATTATCGGGAGGTAAGATATGCCAATTTACGGAATATTTGAAAATTATGTTTGTCGGTTGCTAGTTATTTGGAAAACTGTCTGGCCAATTTGAAAATAATCGGGAACAATGATGTATAGTCGTAGTTAATCGAGAGAACGATATGGTGATTTTCTATTTCTTGACGACTTTTTGATTTTCAGATGTGTGGATATTGGGTTATTCACGATTTGTAGAGAAGTAGTTGTATTAGACAAATGATTCGGATCATGCATAGATAATCAGTTACTAGATATGCTGAAAAAGCATTTGATGAACTAAAGCATGGTACAATGAAGAGAAGGTAGGTCAACTTTGAAAAAATTGCAAGTATAGAGGTCTACCTGTTTGGCTTGTACTGTCAGAATTAGTACCGAAACAATAAAATAATCAAACAACTTGTTGCATTTATTTTGAATAAATAATTAAAAACCCCGAAAACTGAATGAAAGGTCAACACTTCTTTTCAAAACCAGGTTCTATATATCTCTAAAGGATTATTTCGCTACAAAAACTCTAGATTTTGTCGATGCATACGATGAAATAAACATTTTGAAAACATCCGAATTTGAATGTTTTCTGAATAATTTTTTTGTTATTGAAAAGAAAACACATACATAAACAATTAAAGATGACATATTAAGCCAAGAAAATAAAAAAATTGAAATCATATGATATCATAGCCCTACCTTGATATCATTGTACCATGAACTAAAGTTCCTTAAATTCCACTTTTTATTAACCCCCTTCTTATACCCGAAAAAAAAACTTTTAAAATCATGTTGGCGGACGACGGCCTTCTGAAATATTTTTGCTAGACAAATTTTGCGGAGTAAAAGTAGTAGCAAAATTATTCGCTGAAAATTGGATTTTGACTTTTGCGTAAAAAGACAAATCGTCGAAAATGTGTCTACAATTTCCATTTATCAACATAGCAATATTTGTATTATTCGCATTTAATTAATAGCACCTCCCTTATAATGGGTCAATATTTTGAGCCGTCTTTCCCTGACAACTTCGGTGCTTAATAGAATCTAACGCGATTTTTTGCATTTTATTGGACGAATCTCGAAATTTTGATTTGCAAAAAGGATTTCTAAACATTAAATATATTTTCAAATGGAATTTCTAAATTCTAGCTGATCTTTATTGAGCGAAATATTGAAATTGTTGGTACAAAATTGTTAACAGATATTTAAGGAGAAGTGTTAATAATGTTACAATAGACGTTTAGTCCTAAATATCGCTTCCAATGTTGTTCAAATTTCCATAATTTATTTATGATAGCGAACAGTAAAAACATCTCTAACGAAATAAATCTACATTGTTGTTGCAAAATTTGAAAAAAAAAAATAATTTACAATTTATATTTTATCGAATTTAGACTAAAATTGAATTTATCATTGAGTAGGTCATGAAAACTCCTCAATCATTATGGAGGCTCTTTTTATTGTTATCTCATTGTATAGCAATAAATAATTGTGTAACATTCAATTGATTTTTTTTTTATTTTTTATTTATTTATTTATTTTTTTTTTTTTGTTTTTGTTTGTTTTTTTTTTTTTTTTTTTTTTTTTTTTTGAAAAAAAAGTCATTGCTAATTTATTCTAGAAAGTCATCGTCCAAATTGCCTATTTAAAAAGAGCGTTTACAAGGAAAAATATTAATAGATCTTGTTTGTTCATATTCACTTGATTTTTTGAATTTTAAAAATACAATTGTTTTTGAAAATGTAAATTAAATATCGGCAATTTAATTTTATTGTGACCTTGTTTGGGGAAATTGAACTGATGTCAAGCCTATGATTTAAGAGCACTGAATTGTTAATTTTTATAAAACATAGAATATATTTAAAAATAAATATACATTTATTATTTTTATACGCTCCACCATACTATGGATCGGATGACAGGTTAAAATAGGAAATAGGCCATGTATGTCGGTGCACGTTTTCGTATAGCGCCCATATGTGGTCGTGCGGGCTGATCATGTGATACCCAACAACACTAAAATATGTTTAAAGCCCTCTTATTGCAAACTATAATTTGGAAGATTTTGCTTTCGAAATGTCGTATTAGAGCCCTGCCCAGATGTTATTCTTAGCTTTTTGACGGGGGCATTTGCCCAATATTTACGCACTCCCTCGTGTTGTTAGGTATTCGAAATTTTCAAATTTCAAACGAAAGTTGTGGTCCGTTTTACAGCTAAATATAATCCAATGGTCATCCATAATGCTAGACGTTTTCCTGTTCTTAATCTCTTCTCATACAAAATTCCGTGTCGATTGGCTTTCAACTATGTAGTAGGCGACTGCAAAATCAGGAAAATTATTTTTTTGGTCCATTTGAACCCCCTACCTCTTCATAAACAATAGGCTTTAATTCTGACCATAAACCTATCTCCATGTAAAATTTCGTGAGGATTGGACGATAACTGCAACATTTATATAATATCCTCAATACGTAGTGTCTCGGAGTGTAGAAAAACTTTAGAAAATGTTCAATTCAAAATTTTAAGTCAAATTAAAAAAATTCCATACCATAAAAAATATGACAAAAAATAAAAATTATGAAAAATATTCTCTTTTATAGGCATGTTTTCACGCGATTTTCTTGGATTTTATCCGTTTCTGGCTAGAGGCCATTCCGAAATTATAAGAATTTTTAAAATCCGTAAAGCCGTTCTTGAGTTACAAATAGTTTAACGAGCATCCCTTCATTGATATATGAGATTGTACAGGGTGAGATGAAAAAACTGCAACCAACTTCAGATTGCTATAATTTCTAATCCCCTCGTCTGACAGCTGTTAAAATTATCCCAGTGACAGCTCATTATATTGTTTACAAGCGTATAAAAGCATTTTTCCTCTTGTGTCTCGTACCATCGCTCGTTACCGTGATACTGGTAGCGTAGCCCGACGTCAAGGAAGTGGACGGAGGAAAACAGCAACATCACCAGAAATGGTTCGAAAAGTAAAGAAGCGACTTGGTCGAAACCCACGTCGCAGTGGCCGTAAATATTGAAAAAAGTAAAATATTGAAAAATGAGCTCGAGGTAAAGCCATTGAAATTCCAAAAAGTGCAAGAACTTACACCGCAACGGAAAGAAAATAGACTCAAAAGAGCTAAATAGTTGCTTAGCTTGGCCGAAAGTGGTGAACTGCCGAATTTGGTTTTCTTCGATGATAAGAAACATTTGCTATCCAGCTGTTTGTAAACAAACAAAATGATCGTGTTTACTTGACAAAGAGGTCAGCTGATAAGGTGCACCTTCGGTTGGGCACCAGAATTCAAGCGCCGGCCATGGTGATGGTGTGGGCCGCCATAACAGTCGATGGTCGCTCTCCGCTCGTATTAATTGAACGTGGTATTAGAATAAATGCCGAATATTATCGCGAAAATATTCTGAAGGTGGTACTAAAGCCTTGGGCACGCAAACATGTTGGCCGCAGACCTTGGACATTCCAACAGGACTCAGCACCATCGCACTTAGTACGCGCAACTCAAGAATGGTTACAAAATGATCTTTCTCGCTTCATTTCCAGCGCACAATGGTCACCAAAATCTTCGGATACCAATTCGTTGGACTATTGTGTCTGGAGTATTTTGGAAAGCAAGGTTGGCACTAAAAAATACCAAAGTGTCGATCACCTCAAGCAAGCGCTTCGCCGGGAATGGGCCAAAATACCACAGAGCAACATTCGGGCAGCGTGTGACTTTTTCATTGGTCGTTTGAAGGCCATAATTCGTGCCAAAGTGACCAATTCGAACAAATCTAAACTTATTCTAAAATTTAATGCTATTTCCGACATTTTTGCATTTATTCAATAAAATTTAAAAAAAAATGTAACAAGTAAGCAAAGGCTATAGTCGTGCGGGGCCGACCATGTGATGCCCTACAAAGCTACAATATGTTAGAAGCCCCTTTATGTCCAAATCCATTTTGGAAGATTTCGCTTTTGAAATTACGTCACGGAACTCTGCTCCAGGAACATTTGCCTAATATGCCACACCGTCGTGCTGTTAGTTGTTGTAGTTCATTTTACAGCTAAATATAATCCAATGGTCATCCAATATGCTAAAATTCTTCCTTTACCTTAACTCTTTTCTCAACCGTGTCGATTGGCTTCAATTGTATGATCAGGATTTTTTTTTGGTTTTGGTTCATTTGAACCCTTAAATATTTTGCTATCATCTCCAATTTTAGACTCATCTATATGATTTGCTTGTCTACAATATTTGGCTATATTCGTCAACGAAATCAGCATAAAAAAACAGAAGTTGGCCTTTTTGTAAATTATTTCCAGCGTTTCGGTAGAATGGAAATGTTGGTATTTTTTCTCAAAAAAGTAGTGGTCCATTCAACCCGCTGTCCCAAACTACAACTTCATGCGAGATTTCGTGTCCTCTTTGGTTTCTATGTATGACCTTTATAACGGCTGCAAATCTGGAACATTTTTAGATGTTGGTCCATTTCAACCCCTAAATATATTGTGGACATCTTTGAAATCAATAGGCCTAGCCCTTCTGACCCTAACCCTACCCTTGTGAAAATTCTCGTGAGGATCGTACGATAATTGCAATCTGTATATAATAACCCCAACCTGTGTTGTAAAGTAAAAAAATTATATCGCATGCGATAAAAAATAAAAATATGTCACAAAAAATAAAAAATCTATATTAACACCATTATTGGCATATTTTTATGCGATTTTTTTAGATTTTATTCGTTTATGCCAAGAGGGCATTCTGAATTGACAAACTTTGTCAAAATCGGTTCAGTCATTCTTGAGATATAAGCATTATAGCTAACATCCCCTTCCTTTGTATATACACATTGTATATATATCGCTATATATATCCGATATTTTTACTATCGGCATCTACGTCAAGGTCAAGATTGACCTGTTCGTCTATTTGTGATTTTGCCGAGATTAGAAATATTCGCTATTTTGTGAAAAAATTGATTTTATGTAACCCAAATGTTATGGTCTATTTCAGCCACTAAATATTACCCGATGACCATCAAAATTGGAAGACTTCTGCCTAGCCCTAAGTTCTAGCCCCATGCTTACTTCCGCTTCGATTGGTCTATAATCGCGACCTGCAGAGCAACTGCAAAATCATGAAATTTTTCAGTTCTGGCCCTAGCCCCACCTCCATTCTAAATTTCGTGAATAGCTAGATCGACTCATCTCGGCGAGATAGGAAGATCCATATATACTTTCCTATGTGGGAAACCAATATTTCGAGGTCTTACATAATATTTGGCCCAATCAAACTTATAATAAGGGTATTATACACATAGTGTTGTAGGCTATAAACAGCTGTTAAATATTACACCTTTTCCGCTCAATATACATATCTTTCAATACTATGGCACGTATCATAAAAAGTTAACACAATACGGCTAAATAAGATATTCACGTCCATTTTTCTTTTTGCAAAATCTTCGCTGATTTTTGTGTATAGCTTCAGGCTATATCTCTGTGGGTTTATCCCGGCTAAAATATCATCAAATATCCGATTATGATTAATAGCCTTCTATCCCATTGAGAGTTCACACTGAATTCTTCACACTTTACAAATTAATTTCATTAAAAATAGAATTCGATAGATTCGAGGTAATACCTAATTCAAAATCAAACAAACTTTCAACAAAAAATTATTAAATAATAGAACAGAGAAGAGAACAAACACAAAACGTTTTTTTTTTTTTTCGTTTCGAATATTGTTCTGACTTGAGGAAGACTTTTTCGTTTTATTTTGGGATTTAATCGTTTAGTAAAACTAATTATGTTGTACTTTTTTGTCATTCTCTGCATATTCTGCTCGCACGAATTTTGTATAAAAGTTACGAAATTTGTTGATGGAGGTATCAGTATTTTAAGTTTTGTTCTTTCATTTGCAAGTCATCTTACCAAACACCAGAAAAATGGTATGGCCTGTAGGGAAGGAACCCCCCTTCTAAGATTTATAATTTTTATTTTTTTTTTTTAGAAACTAATTGTTTTAACTTTGGCCGTTTTGGTATCCTCTGCTGCAGCTGGATTGAGCTCCACCTATTTGCCGCCAGCTCCTCCATCTAATCAATATCTGGCACCTGCGGTATCCTCCTCATCTTTTGGCCATGGTGGTGGCTTTTCTAGTGGAGGTCATTCAAGCAGTTTCTCGCAAGCCTTTGCCGCTCCAGCTGTGCATCATGCTGCTCCAGCTGTTCAGTACTCAGCACCAGCTGTGCATCATTCTGCTCCAGCTGTTCATTATTCTGCACCAGCTGTCCATCATGCTGCTCCAGCTGTTCATTATTCAGCACCACCAGTCCATCATGCTGCTCCAGCTCCTGCTGCCCATTACTCCGCTCCAGCTGCTTCCTCCGATGCATCTAGCTTCTCCCATGCACAATCGGCCCCAGCTGTACATTATGCAACTCCCGCCGTTGCCAAGCCATCTAGACAATATTTAGCTCCAGCCGTCTCAGCTCCAGCTCCAGCCGTCCATTACTCAGCTCCTTCACACAGCTCCCATGCAGTCTCTCATGCTGTAGCATCGGCACCTGTGGCCCGTTATTCTGCCCCCGTGGCTCACCATTCGGCACCAGTTGCCAAATCTTATGTCGGTGGTTTCTCACACGCTGCTGCCGCTCCAGCCATTCATTACGCCGCACCAGCCGTTGCTGCACCATCCAGACAATATTTGGCCCCATCCAGCGGTTCTTATGGTCACAGCAGTGGTTTCGCCTCAAGTTCTCATTCCAGTGGTTTTGTTGCTGCCGCTCCAGCTGTCCACTATTCCGCCCCAGCTGTAAGTTCATCTTATGGTCATGGTGGTTCTCACTCATTCGGTGGCTTCTCTAGCGGTGGCCACTCATCGGCTGGTTTTGCTCGTGCTGTATCCTCCGCTCCAGTTAGCCACTATTCAGCACCTGCTGCCTCCCTTTTCTCTGGTAATTCCATTGGTACCCGTTATGCCGCCAATGGAGGCTATGTTCGCCACTAAATTTTTGTAAATCCCCGAAACAACCATCAAACGATTTGTTAAAAATAATGATGTTTTAATAAACCCTGAAATCGATTCTCCGAAATATGTTTAGAAGATTCTTTTCTTAGCCGGACAAAACGAAGCAAGTGATAATGACAAGCTAGAATGGGTAAAGAGCTCAATTGGCCAATTAGCCAGTGAATTGATGGTTCTATGCAACTGGTCATTAACGAGTGAATGTTTCGTTATTGAAGTCAAGTGCCACTAAGTCCGTCTTAGTTGTGTCATGAAGAGTGCAGAATTTATTATTAATTAAATTTTATTGATTAAATGTTAATAGATATTATTATCACATTGTAAGAATTGTACCATAAGATCCTACAAACTGTACAATTGCGATTGAGCGGTTATAGAGAGCCCGAGCTCTGTGTTTTCAACAACTATTTTCAGTGAAACGTTTTTCTGCAGCCTATGACAAAAAGTTACTTATACAGGTCGACGTCTTCGTATAGCCCCCATATAGCGGTACCTACCAATATCCGGTATTTTTATACTATCCACCATACTTTGGAGGGTATATTCATTTTGTCATTCGGTTTGTAACTCATCGAAATAATGATCTTAGACCCAACAAAGTATATATATTCTTGACAAGCGTAAAATTCTAAGACGATTTAGCGATGTCCGTCTGTCTGTTGTAATCACGCTATCTTTCGAACGAATTGAAATGAAACGCTAAAATTTTGCACACATGTTTATTTTGCTAGTAGGCAGGTCAAGTTCGTAAATGGGCCATGTAGGTCCACGTTTTCATATAGCCCCCATATAATGGTACCTCCCGATATTAGGTATTTTGGTGATTTTAGCGACATTATTCATCGGAATTGTTTCAAATTTGGTATTTGAAGTTCGAAACGGATACTACAGCCTATGACAGAAAATTGTCTGTGCAGGTCCACGTCTTCGTATAGCCGCCATATAACCGTACCTCCCATTATTCGGTATTTTGATGATTTTAGCGTAATTATTTACCGGAATTGTTTCAAATTACGTATTTAGAGTTTGTGATAGGAACTAAAGTCTGTGTCGGTAGGTCTTCGTATAGATCCCATATATCAGTACCTCCCTATATTCGGTATTTTTTGAGTTTAGGTACAATACCCACCGAAATTGTTTGAGATGTTGTATTTGAAGTTCGTAACTGTGATAGAAAATTATCTATGCAGGTCCAGGTCTTCGCACAGCTCCGATATAACGGTAACCTCCTGTATAGGATATTTTAATTAATTTGGCTACATTATTCACCGTTTATTTCAAGTCTCGAATTTGAACATGGTAATGGCTTATGACAAACAATGCCTATGTAGGTCTACGTCGTATAGAAAATTGAAAATTTCCAACTTCAATACAAATGGTGGAGGGTGTTCAATATTGCTTTTTAACTTGTTATAATGTTAGAAACCTTATTGACCGGAATTGTTTCAAATTTCGTATTTGAATTTCGTAATGGGTACTACAACCTATGACAGAAGATTGTCTATGCCGGTCCAGGTCTTCGTATGGGATCCATATATCAGTACCTCCCTATATTCGATATTTTGACAATTTTAGGTACAATATTCACCGAAATTGTTTGAAATTTCGTATTTGAAGTTCCTAATAGATACTATAGCCTGTGAAAGAAAATTACTTAAGCAGGTCTTCGTCTTCGAAGGTCCGAAGGAAAGGGCCAATATTATCCATTTCCTATTGGATCTAAATAAATATGATATAAATATTGCGACGTGCCAGGTTTGGACTATTTCGATTACTTCCTTCAATTTATATGAGATATGTGATAATTTTTAGAAAATGTTGAAATGTGCAGAATGTGTCAGATATAGTGGACGGGAATATTCCATCTTCACAGTTCATCTAATACAGATAAAAATATTGGTATGGGAAAAACATCAAGAAAATCGAACATTTATATCTAATTTTATGCGAAATCAAAAATTCCGATAAATTTCATATTCACCTTAGGTTTCTAGTTGAGAGAACTATTTAGATATAGGGCGTTGTAAAGAATCGCTGACTTGTTTCGCAAGTTATGACAGACAAAAGTATTGACAATTTTGACCCTTTGTGGGTGAAGTAGCAGAAGGGGTTAACAGATATCTATCATCTTCACAAAAGATCCAGTTTTAGCAAAAATGTTTGTATGTCTTGAATTTGAAGAGATTTGGAGGTTTATTTTACGATTCGTGAAGTTTTACTTTTAAAAAATTTGAACCCTTTGTGGGGGAGGTACCAGAAGGATTGAACCGATATATTCTATCTTCACAGCAGATTTTGTGTTGGGATGATGGGATGTGTAAAATATGAAGAGAACCGCATGCTTATTTCGAATCGTTTCGGATAATCGTTTTAGTTATTCAAAACTTTGACCCTTTGTGGGGAGATACCAGAAGGAATGGTCAATTTCCACCATCTTTATAAAAGATCTTGTGTTGATAGAAATATTGAGATATGCCAAGTCTGTTGATATATCCCATCTTCACGGCAGATCTTGTGTTAGTAGAAGTAATGGTATGTGTGAAATATGATGCTTGTTTCAGATTTTATAATAAATAAATTTGTTGTTCAAAATGTTGAACCTTTGTGAGGGAGGTACACAGAAGGAAAGGACCGATAAATTCCATCTTCACATCAGACCCTGATTGAAAACATACGGTAATAGCCCCTCTTAGATATAAAATCGGGGGTAGGGTTCTATAGGAGCTATATCAAATCGTGGATTATTTTGCAAGGATACCAGGTATCCATTAAGAACACCATACTTCAAATTTCAGTATTAAAAATGTACATAACATCTTCAAATTTCTTTAAATCGGAGATAACGTTCTATGGGGACTATACCATGACCAATCTTCCCTATAAATTTGGACCAATCTTCCCAATTTTATGATTACATCATTATACCCTCAGTCATATGGCTACATTTTGATATGACCAAAACATGCCAAACCGGCTTTTCAGAACATTTGAAGTCGATCTAAGGATTTTCGTTTGTCTGTTGCCCACGATAACTCTCGAAAGGAGTATCCGATTCGGTCCAAACTTGGTACATCGTAATATTATTGTCAATCTTAGATCGAGTCCGGAAATGTGCAATGTCGGTCCACTCCTTCTGGTACCTCCCCCACAAAAGGTTATAATGTCCACTGAAATTAATTTACCTCATAGAACAAAAAAGAATTGTCCCATTTTGTTCAAACTTTGCAAATCCCAATTCGCACATTCCAATTTCGCATTTTCCAAAAATTGGACCTGCACAGAGGGCTATACGAAGACGTGGACCTGTACAGACATTTTTCTGCCATAGGCTGTAGTATGCATTACAAACTTCAAATACCATATTTAAAACAATTGCGGGGTATAATGTCGCTAAAATCAACAAAATACCGAATATCGGGAGATACCGTTATATGGGGGCTATACGAAGACGTGGACCTGCACACGGCTGTAGTGTCCATTATGAACTTCAAATACCAAATTTGAAACATTTCCGGTGAATAATATCGCATAAATCATGAAAATACCGAATATAGGGAGGTACCATTATATGGGGGCTATACCAAAACGTGGACCTACATGGCCCATTTTCAATATCAAAAGTCCTGCAGACATAATATATATGTGAGTAAAATTTTTTTCAACCTACTTCATTTCGTTGGGAAGCTAGAGTGATTTCCACAGACGGATAGACGGACTGACGGACGGACATCGGACATCAAGAATATATATACTTTGTGGGGTCTAAAATGTATATTTCGAGGTGTTACAAACGGAATGATAAAACTTAATATACCCTCCATACTATGGTGGAGGGTATAAAAATAACAGACACATATATCGGCCTTTTAAATGTTTACATTGCAAAGTTCCTCCCTATTTCGCAGAAGAAGTAAACACATGCCACTGCATACTTTTAGGCAGTCATTATGGAGCTCTTAATTCGCCCCAAAATTAAGATAACCAAACACATACATAAACATGAGATAAAGTTGACAGCGATAAAAAATACAACAAAAATATAAACCCAGCTAAAAGTTTAATGACAATGATGCCTATCGTTCTGTGGGTGCAAGAAATTTGACATGGTACTCATTCAACACTTTCAACCATTTTTATACCCTCCACCATAGTATATTAAGTTTGTCATTCCGTTTTTAACACCTGGAAATATACATTTTAGACCCCACAAAGCATATATTCCTGATCCGCATAAATTGCGACTATGTCGATTTATCGATGTTAATCCGTCTGCGGAAATCACTGTAGCTTCTGCACGAAATGAAGTAGGTTGATAAAATTTCACTCACTTCTGCAGGACTTTGCCATTGAAATGGGCTATATAGGTCCACGTGGTTGTAAAGGTTCTCGTTTTCGTATATCTCCAAACTTAGTTTTTTTTATACCCTACACCACATAGTGGTAAGGGTAATGGAGAAGGAAGCGAAGATCTTCATAGAATCACTTTCTGAGAAGAGTTATGCATTTATCATCCGATTGAGATGAAAATTTCCAAACAGTATTTGTTTGGCCCAGGGACGAACCCTATTGAAATGAGTAAGAATCAGTTAAAATTTAGATATAGCTCGCATATATATCTTCAACCGATTTCGGTTTAATTATGCACCAAATGGCTAATATCAGTCCAAATGAACTGAATTTTGGCAATTATGTCTGAATCTATCCTCGAAACAAATTATTCAAATTTGGTGAAAATCGATTCAAATATATCGCTCCCATATATATGTTTCATACGATGTGGGGTTTTAAGTCCCTCACATATGCACTCCACAAGAATGATATTTGGTACCAAATAACTTATGGAGCTCAAAAATACTTCTGTCAAATTATATCGAGATCGGAGTAGATTAGTATATAGCTCCCATATATATCTTAATCCGATGTCAGATTATTTTGTTCACCAACTGGCTAATATCAAGTCAAATGAACTAAATTTCGGCACTTTCGACCGAGTTCAGCCTAAAAGCCAGTACATCAAATTTTGTTGAAAATCGGTTCAGATATAGCTATATCTCTA